CTGGACCCCTGTACAGGGTGATTTTCACCTGAAGTAATCAGAGCAATGCAGGGGTGCTGGAACAATTTGTATAGTGGGGGTGCTGTAAGCCATTGAACCAAACTGTAAATTCTGTATATAATGGAAACCACTTCAAGTTGAGGGGTGCTGCAGCCATAGGCGCTGACTTCTGCTCTCCCCGGTGGGTGCTCGACCCCCCTCTGCCCCCGGCCTCAACCCACTCCACCCCTTCCACGAGGCCCCGCCCCTCCCACCCCTGCCATGCCCCAACTCCGCCCCCTCCCTGCCCCTATTCCAATTCCTTCCCCAAATCCTCGCCCTGGCCCCTCCTCTTCCCCTGAGTGCACCATGTTCCTGCTCCTCCCGCTCCCTCCCAGCCGTTTGGCGGCAGCTGGGCAGGAAGCGCTGGGAGGGAGGCGGAGGAGAGGGGACGTGGCGTGCTTGGGGGGGGGGGGGAATCTTGCCTGCCAGTGGGTGCAGAGCACCCACTAATTTTTCCCCATGCTCCAGCCCTGGAGCATCCACGGAGTCGATGCCTATGGCTGCAGCACCCTCTGCACCCGTAGTTCCAGCATCTATGGAGCAATGCTTTTAAGATTTTGGGTATATCTGCACTTCAAGCTGAAGATGTAAATTCCAGCTTGAGGAGAGACATACCTATGCTAGCTCTAATCAAGCACCCTAGAAATAGTGTAGGTGCAGCAGTAGGAGGGGCTAGCTACCCCAAATATTGTACATACCTGTCTGTGACACTAGGTACATACTTGGGACAGCTAGCCCCTCCCACTGCTGCAGCTACACTCTATTTTTAGTACCCTCCCAGGTAATTCCGTGAGCTAAAAATTACACCTCCAGCTCCACGTGTAGACATCCCCTCCTAAGAAAAATTGTGTGCATAAAAATCAGGTGAAAGTTATTTCAGAAGAAATTACTTTTTTTTTTAAGTACTTCAATACTTCCAACGCATTTGCTTAATATATAATGCAGAACAGAAACTCCCTTTTGTATTAAGGATTCAAAATCTCATAGAACTGAGGGAAACTTCATGCTAATAATGAGGAGGATCCTTACCTAAATATGACTTTAGGAATCTTGTGTATAACAATACTAACATATATGAATAGGAAGTCTATTTGGAGCCAGGGCCGGCTCCAGGCACCAGCTTAACAAGCAGGTGCTTGGGGTGGCCAAGGGAGAGGGGCGGCACCTGCGGCAATTCGGGGGCGGCAGGTCCCTCACTCCCTCTAGGAGCGAAGGACCTGCCGCTGAACTGCCGCCGCCGCCGATCGCCGCTTTTTTTTTTTTTCCCAATTGTCGCCGCCCATTGCGATCACGGGTTTTTTTTTTTTGCTTGGGGCGGAAAAAATGCTGGAGCCGGCCCTGTTTGGAGCTTTATTATTATTTCTATAGCACCTAAAGTGTGCTAAAATAGCCTTGGTCTCTGCCTCCCCTGACAGTACAGGCAGGGTACTATGCACAACCTGGAACCCCCCTACATTTTGTTGAAAGCTTGCTGCTGACTGAACATTACAAGATAAGTCCCTAGATAACACCATGCTTACCTTACAAAGTGTACAAAAACCCACCCTTATTTATAGATCTTACAAGGCCCTTCCTCCAGCCCCAGGCATTGGTAACAATTCACAGCTTTGTATTTCACTACATAGCTAAATTAGGCAAGCAGAATGATATGTCCTGGGATCCTCCCTTAGCAGTCAACTTCACAAGTTTAGCAAAAAACTGACTGTGCTCAGTAGGTGACTTTCAAAGGCTCCCAAATTGGTCAAATATAATCCAGCTTCCTTGAAACAAGTGAAAGAACTTCCCAGTGAGAGTTATTTCCATGACATGTTAGCATTCAACTTCAGCTGTAGACCTAATCAAAGAAAGTTTACACTACTTTTTTATAATGGGAGAAGTCTATATTTTTTCACTTTCTTCACATTTAAAAACGGTAGAAATGTTTTTTTTCCTAAACTTTAAAAATAAACAACCTCCAAGCAGAGACTATGCATGGAGAGTTTCAGTCCTAAAATGTAAAAATTTCAGAAAGTTATAGTTGAGGTGTGTCTGAAAAGAGGAGTTCTGCTGATATCAGTGAAGAAAAATGCCAACTCCTTGCAACTCATCTTGCTGGCCTGCTGCGGAATACAGGCATGCTGGGTTGGTGAAGTGCTGGGTATGATTTAGCAGCTTTTATGGAGGTGGAGATGAATGTCCCTTGGCCTGCAATAGAGCCTCCATGTCATTGTGAAGACTCTGTTGTAATATACTTAGTAAATGATCATGAAAAATCACAGAAAAATACAAATATTTTATTTCTGCCTAGCCCTTTTTGCCATGAAAAATTCCAAGAAGTTTTTGCATACTACATACGGTAAATAAGGCACTACTAAAATACAGCCAGGTGTAGGGTGGCAGCTAATTAGCATACTACTGCACAACAGTAGGAAATATTGGACAAGGCCATTGGGAAAATCCCTTATTCTTACAAAAAGTTCCATGGAACCTTTAGTGTCCATATAGAACAGACAGGCCTGTTGCTTTTAAGATGTGAACCACAACATCGAGCAGGAAACAAAGAGTCTGGGAAATCAGTGAATGTTTAGAACTAGTGACATGGCTTCTCCACTGAAAATAAATCATTGCCCATAATGTTTGAGATGGAGTAGTACAGTGTATGACAGCCAGTGTAATAAGTGGTTAATAGAGATCCGCTTTTGAGATCAGTATCAGAGTAGGGATCAAAATCACTTTTGGGGCTCAAGGGCCACATTTTAAAGGGATTTAGACACCTGGATAGGCATCAAAGTCCGCCATGTTGGTACCCTGACATTTTCAAAACTGCAGCGCTGGTGTTGTCTGATGCCTCAGTTTTCACTGATCAGCATTTTCAAAACAGCCTAAGCGCTACTGCCATCCCACAGTGAAGGAGCTGTGCCCAGCCTTACCTTCAGCCAAAGCCCTGGAGGCCCCAAAGTGGGATTTTTAAAGTAGGTAGGAAAATGCCTATTTTGAAAGCAGATCCCAATCCTGTAGGTGTGCTGTAATATGTGTCCGCTGCCTGATATGTGTCAGTTGCTGCAGCAGGAGGGCTGGATGCAGGCCACCAATAGGTAGGAGAGTAGCACAGCACGCGCAAAAGACAGATGAGAGCACAGGGAAACTTTGGGTGAGTGTGAGAGAGGTACTGAGTGTGAGTGTGTGTTTTTCACGTGCCAGGGCATGGGCTTGCTAAGTGGCTGAGCTGGCTTAGGTGCTTAACTCCAGGAGAGGGTTCATGGCTGAAGATCCTGAGTGGAGCGAGCTCCTTATTTCTGTATCGGCCAGGCATACCAGCTCAGTCACTTGAGCACTTATGCTCCTTTCGTCTCCCTGTCCTCCTGGCTGGTTTATGCGGCTCCCCACTCAACTTACTGGCTTCCAAAAAGTCCCTTCCTTAGGCACTTCAATATCCCTCTACAGGGAGTCTAGGCAGCATGGAGTTATCCAACTTGAAAATTTCACTAGGCAATGTTCTGCCTCTAAAAATCTGAGCCCAAGAGTAACCGGCTACAATACTAAACAGGAACTCAAGAGACCTGGGTCCTATTCTAAGCTATGTTACTGACTGATGGTGTGACCTTGGGCAACCCTTACCTTCCTTATGCTGTGCCTCAGTTTTCCCATCTGTAAAATGGGGCAATGAGACTTTCCCTTCTTTATAAAATGCTTTTAAATGTATGGTAGAAAAGCACTACAGAAGTGCTACGTGTTTATTAATTCTTATTATCCAGGAATCAAAACCAGTAGAGATCCTCTTTAAGGATCAATAAAGATCAGCATTAGGGGTGTCAAAATCTAAAGGAATCAACATTGTGCAGATCAGTTTATGGAGTAATATCAGTAGGGAATCAGCCGTAGGACCAGTTCAACTCTGAGGACAGATATGGATCTAATTTAAGGATCAGCGTGGATCTGTTTAAACATAAGCCATAAGGATCTGAGTTAGGGATCAGCAGCTGTAGAGCTCCTGTACAAATAGATACTGCAGCCCAACCCATGTTGTCCAAGCAGTAGGTGGTGTACACACCCCTGGGTTTGGGTTATGTATAATCTTTTGCTTCCAATTAAAAAAAAGGAGCTATATTTTCCTTAGCCTAGAGGCTCCGATTTCTGACAACCGCTGACTTCCCACCCCGGTTTTGTGCCTTTGTTCTTTATTTAGTAGGGAAATATTTTTTTTGGTTAGTTTGTTTGTTTCATGATCTTTTTTCCCGTCCTTGAAACTGATGAAGTTGGCCACGAATTTTTTCTAAGCAGAGCATCATCATGTATGAAAAAGTTTGACCCTTCAAGGAAGAGGTGGGAAGAGGACATTGAATCACCTCCCTAGCGGCCAGTTATATCCAGTTTTTTTAAATAGAAATTAGCTAGATAGACATTGACCTAGATCAACGGTGTTTGCAATTCTCATGAGTCACGCATTAGCTGCGAAGTTTGCACCATGTAGTGTTCTTAGAACTCCACTCCCCGCAGTCACATGGTTACGCGAGACTCCGGGTTTTCACTAGGAAACGTGTCTAGGGCTTGAAATCAAAAGTTTGATATTCCAAAGGCTCAAGAGCAAGAAAGCAAATGAAAACTCCCCGTTTATTGCCTTATTCTTAAGCCAATCTCATGATTTGGGGGACGGGCACGCTTGGGGCTGACGACATGGCCAGCAGCAGGGGTACGCGAGCTGCCCCAGAAGCCCCTCCAACAGGGGTCAGAGGGGTGAGCCCATCCTGCCATTCGCACGTTCCTAGCTGATCGCTCCCAGGGGGTGCGAGAGACCTGGCTCCCACTACTCACTCCGGCTGCCCCTGTTTTTGCCCCCTCCCTGCGCCTCATGCTGCCCCTCTGCACCCCACTTTTGCCCCAGGGCGTAGCAGCGCCCGGGCAGAGCCAGCCAGGGCAGCGGCTTCAGCGGCGGCCACCGAGCATGCTCAGACTGTCCCCCTGCCGGGCGGGCGCAGGAACCGGACGGAGCTGGGGCAGGCACAAGCATGCGTGCGGGGCTCGGGCAGGCCTTGCGGGGGCTGCTGCTGCTCTCGGCTCGGAGCTGCTCCTGCTCCTGCTCCGGAGCGGGGAGGAGGAGGCGGCTGGTGCAGCCGCTGCCGCGCTGCAGCTGGCTCAGCACCATGGCCCAGTGCAGCACGGAGCAGCGGGGGCGGCCCCACTCGCCCCAGTACCGCCTCTACTTTAGTAAGTAGCAGCCCCCCGGGGGCTCTAGGCGCCGCAGCCTCTGGCCGGGGAGGTGCGGGGGGCGCGGTGGAACGCGGGGCTGGCTGCGAGCTCAGGGACGCTGCCCCCTGCCAGCCGTCATTGGGGGGCGAATGGCGAAAGCCAGGATCCCCCCTCTCCAGGACATGCTTTAGAGCTTAACTAGGAAACTTGGCCGGGGGCGTTAACATAGGCACCCCCTGTTGCTGCCCCCCCCCCCCGGGGCGCTGGAGCATTGGGTTGAAACCTACAGGCTTTTGCTACAAATGAATAAAGAGTAGGATGTGGCTAGATGCATTAGCCCCTCCAAGGCCCGGAGAGTTGGCCTGTGCAGAGGGCTCTGTCTCCAGCCCTGCAGGGAATTTGATTGTCCCAGAGAAACAGCTGAAGGGTTGTCTCCCCAGAGGGTGACTTTAAATTAAAAAAAAAAAAAAATACACTAAAATGAATCCAGTACAAAGGAGTCTCTTGTGTCCCACTGGGTGAGACTTGTGGCAGTGAGGGCCTTTCAGCCGCCAACAGCCCCACTATGGGCCAAAACACACAACCCAGAATGAAGAAGAGAAGACAATTACAAATAAAAAAAAAAAAGTGTAGGAAACGTTTTAAGCAGTGCATGAGTTTAATTACTTTGGCAGGAATAACAGTGTGTAGACTCTGTCTTGTGAGTCCACGCTCCTGATGTAATGATAGTGAGTGCTCCAAATGTGCTTGTAGTAAAGGCAAATTTGCATTTGAAATGAGGAGAGCTATTTTACTGAGGACCTGCTGAGCAGTCAGCATGTATGAAAGTGTGAACGAAGCTCTCAGACCTGTCAAGACAGAAAAACCTAGTGTGACAAGGTGGGTGAGGAAATATATCTTTTCTTGGACCAGCTTCTTTTGCCTCACTCGTCTTGTCTCCCTAATGCCCTGGGACAACATGGTTACACCAACATTGCAAACAAAAAGCTAGTGTGGTTACTTTCAATTTCACACTTCCTTTTTTTAATAGTTATGAAGATTTTTAAAAAGCCACTTTCTGATTTTGCTCTTAACACTGATTTTTATACCACGGTCATTCCATTACGTTCAGTGGAGTCACTTCTGTTTTACACTGCTGTGAGAAAAATGGACAGATGTAAATGGTGAGTTGCACCTTGTCAGAAATCTGTCACGCTGACTCCAATCGAGGTTGGGTGCGATAGGCTTGATCTAGTGACTGTCACTTCAGTTTGAACAGTGGCCTATGAGTAGGCCCCTACCGATTTCACTGTCCATTTTGGTCAATTTCACAGTCAGAAGATTTTAAAAATTGTAAATTTCATGATTTCAGCTATTTAAATCTGAAATTTCACGGTGTTGTAATTGTAGGGGTCCTGACCACAAAAGGAGTTTGTGGAGGGGGGAGGGGGTGGCAAGGTTATTGTAGGGGGGGTTGCAGTACCCTTACTTCTGCAGTGCTGCTGGCAGTGGCCCTGCCTTCGGAGCTGGGCAGCTGGGGAGCGGTGGCAGCTGGCTGGGAGCTCAACTCTGACGGCAAAGCTGCCATTAGCAGAAGTAAGGGTGGCATTTTATGGTATTGCCACCCTTACTTCTGCACTGCTGCTAGTGGGGCGCTGCCTTCAGAGCTGGGTGCCTGGCTAACGGCCGCTGCTCTCCAGCCGTTCAACTCTGAAGGCAGTGCAGAAGTAAGGGTGGCAATACCACAACCTCCCTAAAATAAGCTGATTTTTATCAGCAACTGATAGAAACTGCAACTCCCTATTGGGTCAGGACCCCCAGTTTGAGAAATGCTTGTCTCCCCTGTGAAATCTGTACAGTAGAGGGTAAAAGCACAAAAAAGACCAGATTTTGCAGAGGGAGGCTAGATTTCATGGTCCGTGATGCATTTTTCATGGCCATAAATTTGGTAGGGCCCTACCTATGGCTAAACTTAGTCTTTTATTTGCTGGAATGTAGCACCATATTTGTACAACATTTGTATAACAATTGTTTCTGTCTTAATAATAATATATGGTGATATACCTATCTCATAGAGCTGGAAGGGACCCTGAAAGGTCATTGAGTCCAGCCCCCTGCCTTCACTAGCAGGACCAAGTACTGATTGTGCCCCAGATCCCTAAGTGCCCCCCCCCCCGATTGAACTCACAACCCTGGGTTTAGGGGGCCAATACTCAAACCACTGAGCTATCCCTTCCCCCTATTGCAGGGGTTGATGTATAAATTGACCATTTTATTTGTTACAACTTAAATCCCCCGGCAAAGCAGTGTTTCAATTTAAAATACTCATAGACCCTTGTCTGTCTATAATGATGGAAGCAATAGGGACATATTTATTAGTAATGTGGACATCTTTCAGCATGTTTGGTTTAGATTTGTAACAATTTTTTTTTGTCTCGCAGAGAATGCGGAGGGTAAATATATTTCCCCGTTTCATGACATTCCTCTGTTTGCTGGATCTAAAGAGGTATATGTTAGACTCAAATGCAGTTATTATTTCTTGAAATGGTGGATGTTGTGTCCTCTAATGGTCAAAAAAGCAGGTTGATTTTTTTTTCTTTTCAATAGAAATCTTGTTGTATTTTTAGCAATTACTACAATAGATTCATATATTTTAGGACCAGAAGGGACCTTTATGATCTATGGTGACTTCCTCCATAGTACAGACCATAGAATTTCACCCAGTAATTCCTGCGTTGAGTTCAATAATTTGTGGTGGAACTGGAGTGTGCATTAGAAAGATATGCAGTTTTGATTTAAAGACTTTCAAATTATAAGTCCACCATATCTTTTGGTAAGGTGTTCCAGTCGTTAATTACCCTGACTGTTAAAATTCTGTGCTTATGTGCGCTAATTTAGAATACAGTTTCTGCTGTTACTATTCCTAAATCACTTTTTGTTTCACCAAACCCATGTAAATTGCTATTTTTCTACAGTACCAGCAGCTTTGCAGTAGAAGAGGCTTATACGATACATATTTGTGTGAATGGTATATTTCTTTAATTCCCAAAAGATGTGTTGTAATTTGAAGGCAGCAATAATGCCCAAGAGAGGAGTGGTAATCGCACCTTTGGAGAATTACAAGGCATGAGGTGCAGCCAAGCACTTTCACGTATTGTTAGCCATATTCCCTGGAGTTTCATTATTGCTATAGTGAAATGCCTGTTTTCTATGTCATCTGTGAAAACTGCCAGCCTTCAGTTTAATCTGAGAAGAGGTTTGCTTATTATGGCATACTAGTTCCAAAAAATAGCTTGGGAAATTTTCAGCCTTTAAGGTTTGTTGCCTCAACTGTTCAGTTCATTTGTAGGATGGAACACTGAGAAAAATCTGCAGCCCTATCATGTGCCAAGAGGGGTTTTCCTGAACAGATAAATGCTACATCAATATTGTTCTGTTTAATCATTTAAAACCAGGGCTTGAAAAGTGTACCTGATGCCTTTGTGTAGGAGGACTAAACCTGTTGGTGAGAGGTTGATGGGAAAGACCAGAGTTGGAAGGCCTTACAAGGGAGGTCCAGGGGCCATAACTTTACTAGCACCTCTTACTATCCTTAGCTGCTGGGAGGGAGGAGGGTGCTGACATTTCCACTAAAATGCTGTCCCTGCATCCTCCTTTCAGTCTTTTTTTAAACTTGCCTCTGGCAAGCAGATGTCTGATGAATTTGAAGCTCCTCCCATTCTGGCTGCTGGACAAGAGAAGAAATTTCTGTTTCTTCTGTCCCTCCAGAGCCTCCAGGCTGCTGGGAGAGACATGGGTCTCCACTTTGATCCCTCTTCCAGTCTCCTAGATGCTGTAAGAGGATTGGAGAATGAAGAGGCCTCTGCTACTCTTCCTCCCGTCCAGCCTCTGCCTTTAGGGTCCTCCTCACTTGTGAATAACTCCAATGCCTGCTGCTGTTTATAATGCAATTCACAGCTTTTGCAAGCAGCAGCAGGATGAAACTGACCTGGTTCTTAACAGTTTTGTGGCTGCCTGCTGGGATCTGTAAAGCAGCACTGAAACTGACCGGTCTTAATTTCACTCAGCTGGTGCTTGGCAAAGAAACGAGATTTGTCCATTTCTGATTCAGGAAGATGAAAATGCATCAGTTCACATTTGGAAGGTTATAGCCTTTCAACCCTTAGGAAATTTAATGTTTTTAAAATGAAAGTTACAGTTATAGAGAAATTGATGGCTTAGGTTCCCCCTCGTATTCTCAAGGACTAGCTTGCCACTCATGAGTGGATTTTTCAAGCCCTTTTAAAAACTACTAGTATAGTCTGTGTAGAATCTACAGTGTAGTAATTATTTATAGAAACACCATGGTATTCTTTTCTCTAACATGAATATATTTTGGATTTGACTCCTGTAAGTGAGCGTTCTAAATGCAAATTTTTCTTTTTCTGTATAGGATAAGGAGGTTCCTGCGAAGAGATCAAAGACTAATGGAAGTGAGGTACAGTTTGAAATTATTTTTCATTAAATGTAATTTTGCTATGCTCTAGTTGTAATGGACACATTAGAATAGGGCTTTCAGTCATGGTGGGCAAAATGAGAGCTGTTCAGTACCATGCATCTTTCACTGAATACAACTGATAAACCTTCAAATACAAATGCCATGGGATGAGGGACCTCAAAGGGATTTAAAGTCTCCTGTTCAAATGGGAAAAAAAAGTCATTTTTTTTAATTAATCAAAATGTTCTAAAAGACAAGTGTTTTTATATTTTTCAGTAGAAGCTTCTTTCTGACAGTTGTAAAGTTGATACATTGTATTTTCTCCTATTGCATACAGAAGCCTGCTCAAGTAAACTCTCTTAGGGCTGGTCTATACTTACCTGTTAGTTCAACGGCTGGAAATCGAACTTCCGGGTTCGATTTATCGCGTCTGGTCTGGACGCGATAAATCGATCCCGGAAGTGCTCGCCGTCGACTGTGGTACTCCAGCTCGGCGAGAGGAGTACCGTGGAGTCGACGGGGAGCCTGCCTGCCGCGTGTGGACCGCGTCTGAACCGCGGTAAGTTCGAACTAAGGTATGTCGACTTCAGCTACGTTATTCACGTAGCTGAAGTTGCGTACCTTAGTTCGAATTGGGGGGTTAGTGTAGACCAGGCCTTAGTAAAACATTCCCTATGTGTTCTGACTGCAGAGTAACATAAAAACAATTATAAATCTTTTATTTTAGAGCAGTGGTTTTCAACCTCTTTTCATTTGCAGACCCCAAAAAATTTCTAATGGAGGTGAGGACCCCTTTGAAAATCACTCTCCCAGAGGTCTGCAGACCACAGGTTGAAAACCACTGTGTTAAGGGATATTAAGTATGATGGGCCAAAACCCAGACTTTCCAGCTGTGTTTTGGACTGAAGGCATGTGCTTTTCTGGGATGTGCAGATGTGCACAGTAGAGGAAAGTGCCCTGTGCATGTGCTCAGCGTTGCTCCTGATTAGAGAGAGAATGAGTACCCAAGGTTTGTTTGTGAAGGAGTCTTCTTTTAAATTGGATATTTCTAATAAAGGTTATTGTCATTACTATAAAGGGAAGGGTAACAGCTCTCCTGTGTACAGTACTATAAAATCCCTCCTGGCCAGAGACTCCAAAATCCTTTTAACTGTAAAGGGTTAAGAAGCTCAGGTAACCTAGCTGACACCTGACCCAAAGGGCCAATAAGGGACAAGATACTTTCAAATCTGTTTGTGCTCTTTGTTTTGGGGGTTGTTCGCTCTTGGGACTGAGAGGGACCAGACATCAATCCAGGTTCTCCAAATCTTTCTGAATAAGTCTCTCATATTTCAAACTTGTAAGTAAACAGCCAGGCAAGGCGTGTTAGTTTATCTTTGTTTTCTCAACTTGTAAATGTACCTTTTACTAGAGTGTTTATCTCTGTTTGCTGACTTTGAACCTAAGGCTAGAGGGGGGTCCTCTGAGCTCTTTAAGTTTGATTACCCTGTAAAGTTATTTTCCATCCTGATTTTTACAGAGATGATTTTTACCTTTTTCTTTAATTAAAAGCCTTCTTTTTAAGAACCTGATTGATTTTTACTTGTTTTTAGATCCAAGGGGGTTGGATCTTGATCCACCAGGAGTTGGTGGGAGGAAGGAGGGGGGATGATTAATTTCTCCTTGTTTTAAGATCCGAGGGGTTTGGATCTGTATTCACCAGGGAATTGGTGAAGAGTTTCTCAAGGCTTCCCAGAGAAGGGAATTAGCTTTGGGAATGGTGGCAGCGGACCAGATCTAAGCTGGTAGTTAAGCTTAGAAGTTTTCATGCAGGCCCCCACATTTGTACCCTAAAGTTCAGAGTGGGGAAGCAGCCTTGACAGTTGTCTTGGGACCTAAGTGGGGGCATGGAATCATTTTAAGTATTGAGTAGAATGCGAAAGAAAGAATTCATATTTTAAGGCCCAGATTTTCAAATATGGGTTCTTAAAGATGGGCTCTTAAATCCCTATTTAGGCACTGAAATAAGTTCTGAGTAACCAGCAATTATTAGACAATATCTATGTGACCAATCAATTGTATTTCAAATACCGCTAAATGGGATTTTAACTAGACAGAGCCACTCTCATGGTCTGGTTTCTAGCAGCACTTGAAATATTATTTCCTGCCACTGGTATGGTTCTGTGTACCATCCTTACACGTCCATCCGCTCACACATACACATTAATTCTCTCCCACTCATAATTCTTTTAACCCACAAATACCAGTTATATGTACTATTTAGATTTCAGGCTTTTTTTCTAATGCTGACTTAAGAATTATTTAGGAAGGTACACAGTCATTTATAAATGCGAATAAAAGATAAAACATAAGGAGGAGTTATATGGCTGTTGAAAACGGGTGATGAGGCTATGAATTATAACTCTAGCAGGCAGTCATGTATTCTGTTTCTTATCTGTCTAAGCAGTGTGTGACAATATCTGATCCTGATCATCTTGCAGAGCCTGTTCTACAAAATGGTTAAAACTATATGAAACTTCTGAGCTGTAACTTTAATATTTATACTTTAATATTTTTCTCATTTAGTGGAAATCTTCTTAAACTTGACTAAAACAACATCATTATTTCCTACATGCTATGTTCGATCTATAGCCCTGATCCTACAGATGTCCTCGGAGGATCAGTCTAATATAGTGCTTAGTTAGAAGTTTAACTTCATTGAGTATTGTTTTTGCAAATCTTACATATGTTTTCTTTCATCCAAAAGGATCTCAAAATGCTTCACAAAAGTGGGTATATTACAAATTATGAGTACAGTATGTAATTCACTCACTCAGAGATAGATAGAAATAAAAGAATTACTTTGCTCACCTTTTTAAAACATAGCCATGTCTAAGATGAAGCATAGAAACTTTTTAACACCACCCAGTAATATTACACAGCAGTTTAGGACAGGAATACTATATTCAGTTGAAATGGCAAGAGACGTTATGGATACAAATTGTACAATAGATAACCAATCTGGCTACTTTTCCTAATCCCATGAAAAGTGGCATAGCTTTTTTTAATAAGCACATGTACTCAGGATCTTGCTTATTTGTTGGCACTTCCAGCAGTACGGTGCCTCCTAAAACCATATGTTAAATTATACTAGTCAAGTGTTTCTCTGGTAAATAATGTACATCCAATGGCAGTTTAGATATAGAAAATAGAAATAATTTGGCATAAGTCTCCTGTTTATCAGATTTATTTAAAATTGTTCTGAGCACTTGTGATATTGAAAAGGGGACTACAAAATATTGGTCTATCTTTTGATATGCTTAATTCAGTTCTTCACTGCAGTATGGAGATACATCTTAGCAGTTTGCAAGATCAACTTGCTTTGGTTTGTTCTAATAAAAGGTTTCCCCAACTTTTTCCTGGTATGAGGCGTCTTTTCGTAGTGAGGCCATATCATGGGCCACCTTCCTTTCCAAACTCTGATTTACTCTCAGATTTGCAATCACGTCAACCCTGTGTAACTACTGTAATTGGTAGCATGGAAAAGAGAATAAAGAAACTATTTATATATTTGAACTACTTAATGAGTTGGGTATGGCTGCTTTCCAGATGTTAGGGAAGATAATTACCTTTCGTCTCAGATCATTACCATCTTGTAATCTGAACCTGTGCTTTGTTTTAAGTACTACAAGCACTGAAAATTCACTCTCGCCCAGGTAAGTAGATGTGAAAAGCATCAAAAGTTTCAAATCTCCATCTGTGAATGCTGGATGTTCTTCCTATAGTTGCAGTCACAATTCTGTCAGGTGCTGGTTCTGTGGTCTTCAGGGTATATCTACACTGCAATTAAAAACCCCTAGCTGGCCTGTGCCAGGTGACTCAGGTTCACAGGGCTTGGGCTAAGGGGCTGTTTAATTGCGGTGTAGACATTTGGGCTTGGGCTGGAGCCCGGACTCTAGGACCCCGTGAGGGATCAGCTGGCCCAGGCCAGCTGAGGTTGTCTGATTGAAGTGTAGACATTCCCTTAGTGTCTTGTTGCGGGCAAGTTCCTAGGGGCCATAGTTGTCTTTTAAAGATAAATCTGAAATGTCGCTCCCTGCTGCAGTGAAAGGGCTTCTAACCAGCTCATCGTTGTATGTGTCTTTGATGTTTTATTCACAGATGTTCTGTTTTCAGATGAGTCAGGTGTTCTTGAATACATTCTTTTACTTCAAATGGGAAGATGTTTGTTGGCTTCAGTGAGAAAATTATCTAGGCACGTCAAGATTATCCTTATTTACTCGCAGAGTCCCCTAAGTTTGTTTTTTTTCTTAAATCAGGGCATCAGACATGTTCTCTCTGTTAAATAGCATCACAGGCTGTCCTTGCAAACTCAAGCTGAGTTCCCTCTGTCAAGTGAAAACTTCTGGTAAATAAGCCAGCTGGGTGAGCCATAAGGGGTCATCAAAACAGGCGGGCGAGGCAAGTGAGTGACTTGACAGAGAGACTGGCACTTTGGGAGGGAGTTCAAAAAGGTGTGTCGGTGCTTTCTCATGATAAAGCCAAGACATACCAGTGTGAAGGAGGAACTTGGCAGCGTTGATCACGCAGCACAGCAAAAACATTAGGATTCATGGGATAAGCTCTAAGGAAGTTAACTGTCTTCCCAGCAGCATCCTTCATGTTTTTCAGATGTGCTGGTGATTTCCTCGTGATTAGGGCCTCCTGGTCTATACAAGGAGCCATTGGTGCTACAAAGCAGCTATGTGTAACCAGACCTCTGTGATGCCATTGCTTGTGCTCCATCTGTGGAGACCATCACAATGTTCCCACTCAGGAACGCTTTCCGTACGATATTTGAAAAACTTCCCCTGCAGTTGTGCAGGTTAGCAGAGACGGAGAACAAAGAAAGTCATCTTGCACTCAGCCACCAGATTAATATCTAACCTAGGAGAGAGAGTTTGCAAAGGAAGCCACATCAGTGAATTAATTAGACTTAACTGCAAAGAAATAGTTGCTTCAAGCTTGAGAAGATTGATGCTACATTTTCACCAATCGCAGAGATTCTTCTTGGTCCTGGATCTTTCACAATTTTAAAGTGTCCAATTAGGTGCTTATCTTGTCACTGAACATCACTGAAACCAATTCTTTGTACAGCTTGAAGTAAAAACTCTTCCCTTGTGCTATCAGACTCCCCTTCGCTTTTCAGTGCAAAGACTCACAAGATGAGATGCCTGCCTGCCTGTTGACTTCAGAGTGGACATTGTACTTTTTTGGCCATGTAGCTTATACTGGAAAAACTCCAGAGGCTTGTTTTTCAGGCCAGAGTGTTTGGTCTCTAGATATAGCTGGAGATTGTTGGTTTGATTTTCATTGGCCAGCACCTCATAGCAAGTGATACATTGGGGATGGGGCTTATATTGTGAACAAGTCCATAGTAAGCACATATCCATATATCTGTGATCATGTTTCATGATAGTCCTTCTTTTCATCCCTCTTTTCTCTTCTGTAGTTGAAGGCACTGGGCTGTGGCTTGCTCTGTTCACTCTCCCTTAGAACTTTGGCTCAGGCCTGTGATGAGAGTTGGTAAAATCACAAATGAGCAGCAGCTGCATTAAATAGTCACAGAAGAGAAGCAGTTGAAGTATAGCTGGTGTCTTCTATCTCTGCCCTTGTCATGTTACAAAGCTTAAGTGAGGTATGTCAGCAGGTCCAGAATGCCTTTTATTTTTTTTTTTAAATTATATTTTCCAAAAGCACTTTGCTGTACAAGTGGCTAGAGTAACTGCAGACTTTTTCTGGAAAAGCTCACCATCCTTTTTGTTCCTCATTTTATCTCCTCCTCTTCCCATCGGTTTTGTTCTCTTCCTCATTCTCGGCACAGGCTGCCCTGCGTTCTGCTTCCTCTTCTACTCAAAATTGGTTTATCCCTTAAAAAGTTCTGCAGCAGCCACTAAACTCTCAATTTCCCATACCCCAGGCAAAAATCAAATTTCTTCACCTCTCTTTTTCCCCCCCCCCCATTCAAAAGAGGTTCTAATCCCTGCCCCGCATCCACTGGTCACAGGATCAGGAGCTCAGCAGGACTGGGGAAGGAAGTGAGCAGCTCAGCTGGGAAAGGGTGATTTACCAAGAGGAGAGGAGGGTTGTTTGTGAGAAGGCAGCTTGTAGGGAGGTGGTCCAGGAAAGGAGCCAGAAACAGATTTCTTCAAGTAAACTATTTGCAGCCCTGTTTCCTCCTTCTCCTGCCCTTCCTGAAACTGCTCCTTTGGTATGGGTTGTTCTTATATGTCATAGACAAAATATTGTAATTTAAGAGATACTACTAAATATTTTTTAAATTGTTTTCTTCCTGTTGGCATATTGTATCTTAGAAACTAGAAAATGTAATTCTTTAATTTTTCCCCACTTGGCAACCAATGATTCCCCCTCTCAGCTCCCAGGGTATTTAATGGAGCATAAGTGAAAATGACTGTACTCTATAGTAACGTGAATGAACAATACAGTCTCGGTTCTTATATATAAGTAGAGAATCTGTGTGTCCCTGAGAACTGAGAGGATCCAGCTAACATGGGCTGTCCCTGTCTGTATTACAAAAAAATGTTTTGTCCTGTTTTTTCCCTACTCCCCAGCAGACTGGTCTTCCAAAGAAGCCACCACCCAGCAGAGCTGGTGAAACTGTAAGTAGGCGGTGTGAACAAATATGCACCTCAGGGGCCACCTCCATCCAGGTCTATCATACAGCCTGCCCTCCACGAAGCCCCTCACACACACGTATGAGAGTCTGCACCATGTGGAATTTGGGGCATTGCTCCAAGTGGCGAGCCTAGAGGGTGCTCACCATGTACAGGAGGCACCCGTCAGACCAGGGTTGGCATCTGTACTTCTGCTTGCTTCCCCTGTAACAGTGGAGGGCAGCACGTTGTGGAAAGCCATAACGGATGGTGGAAGCAAGAGATAGTCATGGGTGAAAAGGCAGGACTGAGTCTGTGATGGAGAGAATAAGAGGGGATGCTGGGAAGATATAAGGGTGAAATCTAGGAAGGGAAGGGAGAGGAGAATGGAGAAGAGAAAGTGAGGGAAATGAAGAGAAGACACAACATAGAATATATGAGGGAGGAATGAGCAGCCTTTTCTCTCTTCCCTTTCATCTCCAGCTGTCAAATCCTCCTGTACATACCTCCCTAATCCCCACTAAAACCGTCCCCTCATGAACCCTCTGCACCCAGGGCAAGGGCTCTGGTTCATCCCTGGAAAAAATTGATTGTCCCATAAACAAACTGTTTTTATTTTTAAACATAAGGATTGCATGAAGCTATTAAACTCTTGTAAACATCCGCAGCAGCTGAAACTTGGGCAGCTCAACCTCTGAGGCCTTTTGATTTTTTTTTTTTTTTTTTTTGGCATATGAATTAATCTATTAAATTTGTTATATTTAGTGCTCTTGACCATTTGTGTTCAACTGATATCAGAAATCCTGAGGGCCAGATTCTTGTCTGCAATAAATCAATGTAGCTTCACTGAAATAACTTATGCTACACCAATTTACGCTAGCTGAGGCTCTGGCCCTGAGAGTCTTCCTTGACTCACTGCAGGCCTGAAGTAGTTCGAGATCAATTTAGGTTTTCAAAAAATCTCTGTATTCTCCAGATGCCACAGTTATAGATGGAGTCAGGAAAATGCGCAGTTACAACACAGGTGTACGGATAAATCTCCTGCAGTCTCCTTCACAACAAAAATAAGGTTCTGGTGGCAATGAAAGTTTATCCTGTAATATTTCAGCAAGACTTTATAGGTCCTTTTCCTGTTGTAATTACGAAAGTCAAAATGATTATTTGTTTAGTCTTGTTTTTTTTTTTTTTTTTTTTTTAAGAGCTCCACACCAGAATTGGCCTTAATATTTTTGGAGTGGGCCCGTTAAACAGCGTTTTGCCATCTCTCCCCTACTGCGAGAGCCTGTCCACCATGATCGCAATGCTATGCAGTAAGCCCAGTGGTTCTGGGGGAGAGTTAGAGATGGTTGTCAGACACCCCCCATAACTGAATCCTTGCATTCCTGTCCTTATCTGCTCTTGTCTCTTTTGTCACTTCCATCCCAATTTTGTCTCCCTCAGTGCTGCCAGGTTTGAACTATGTTCTTTCTTAACTTCTTTCATAACTATGTTCTCTTTCTTCAAGATGCTCTTTACCCAGGGAATATTCTCACTGAACTGATTCTTAAGGACTCTGTGCTTTCTTCCTTGCTTATTAGCTTAGGTTGTGGACTTTTCAGGAGATGGATTCTGTCTTATCAATTTGGACAGCACATTGTGGGCATGACCATTATACAAATTAATATAGAATGTGTTTTGGGATCTTCTGGCTATGGGAGGACTGTGAATTACTTGTGACCTTGAGGAAAAATCAGTGAGAGGTGACTGTTGAGATTCCCTCTTGCACTTTTTAGTTCATCTCTCAAATTTGGGGAAGAGGGTGCAAATTTGGGACTGCAGAGGCTGGCGTTGATCAGACTATTGTACCAGCTCTGGAAATGTATTTGTTCGTTAATACAGCAGATCACTAGGAGCAAAAATCCGGGTGCTTCATGTCAGTTTCAGGGTTAACTGCACCTTTGACACTATTTCCCCCCGCCAACCCAGTCTTCCTTAAGCACCCACTTAAGGTTTAGGCTCCCAGCAATCACTTCTCTTGTGTGGAGACCCGTGTGTCTCTCCGTCCAGACTGTGGGTTAGGCTTGCAGTCCCTCTACACCTCACTGTGATATCCCCAGCAAGCCAGTCTGGCTCACAGCCAGAACCTGTGTTGCTTTCTGTCCAAAGGCTATGAACAGCATATTGCCAGCAGTTACAAGTTATCTCACAGCTCTTTCTAAGTAAGCACAGCTATTCTTAAGGTAAAAGCATCACAGAGGAAACATATAAAAACAATCAAAGTTCCTACATGCTTATCAGAGATCACTCCAACTCCAGCTTAGAGCTCTGGTAGATGTCAGTCTTTGCAATCCTTCTAGGGGTTGGGTTCTCCTAGGAACCAAGGTCCTGTCTGTTTGCTGAATCAAAAGAAAGCCATGCATTAGTTTAAACTCAGCCTGTTTTGTACTAAAAGCCCTTTCTTTGTCTGTTGGTCTCTGGAAAAAGCAGTTTGAACTGGTAAATGCAAACCTTCTCAGGGAGAGGTATCTTTCTGGAGGTGTTTACAACCTGAGTGATTCTCCTTAATCACCAACCCCACTGTTTTTATTTCCTGGAGGAACTGTGGTAGCCCATCCCCCTGGAGTTGAATACAGCCCTTGGCCCACAATGATACAAAAACCATACCTCAACTCAATACAATGTGGTCCCCAAAGATATTGCATGAGGTTGCAATATCTATTACACATTTTACATTCATGTAAGAAGTGTCTCTTAGGGTCCTAGGCAAGGTGACATTTTGGGACAAATTCAAGCCTGGTGCAACTCCAATGAAGTCAGTTTGGTGGTTCATCTTTCTTTTTAAGAAATCATGTTAGGCTTTGTCTACACGGGCACTTTCGTCGTTAAAACTTGTGTCGCTCAGGGGTGTGAAAAAACACCCCCCTGAACAACAAAAGTTTTAACAATGAAAAGCACTGTTGTGGACAGTGCTTCATCGGCGGGAGCCGCGCTCCCGATGAGGAAGCTACTGCCCCCCGTTGGAGGTGGTTTTATTTTGTTGCCAGGAGAGCTCTCTCCTGGCAATTTAAGAGCAGCTACACAGTGCACCTTACAACGGCATGGCTGCAGCAGCATGGCCATGCCGTTGTAAGGTGCGCTGTGTAGACATAATCTTAGTTTCTGCAAAGGAGTGGTGTGTCTGTCATTGAGTGGAGCAGTAGCACTGTGATGCATCTTTAATGTAAACAGAAATGTTATAATCAATAATACACCATGAATAAATATTTTTATTTTTGCCGTTGCTTTATGTTTTCTGACATTTCTGTTACACAGAATGAATGAACTCACACGGAAAATGATTAAAAGACAAAAACACCACATCACCCGTGGGTGAACACTTCTCACAGAGTGATTGTTCTCTACCTGACCTATCAGTCCTCGTCCTCAAAAGAAACCTGCACAACACTTTCAAAAGACGAGCCTGGGAGCTTAAATTCATAACTTTGGTCGACACTAAAAATCATGGTCTTAATAGAGACACTGGATTTATGGTATATTATAATACTCTATCACCCACTAACAGTCCTTCCTCTGCTGCTCTCCCCTCCCCCTCCACCCTTTCTCTCCTTATGACTAGAGGGGTGTAATTGGGCCACTTCACTTTGAATCATCCCTTGAGATATGTATTAACTACTTATGCTAAACAATCAATTCAGGCCTTATATTTAGCAGTGACACTTTGAGATAGGGCAGGTCTACAGGTCTCGCAGCAAGGGAGATTTAGGTTGGACATTAGGAAAAACTTCGTAACTGTCAGAGTGGTTAAGCGCTGGAATAAATTGCCTAGGGAGGTTGTGGAATCTACATCATTGGGGATTTTTAAGAGCAGATTGGACAAACACCTGTCAGGGATGGTCTAGATAATACTTAGTCCTGCCACGAGTGCAGGGGACTGGACTAGATGACCTCTTGAGGTCCCTTCCAGTTCTATGATTCTACACTTAAATTGAAGCGGTGCTGCTGTAGCATTTCAGTGAAGACAATACTATGCTGATGGGAGAGCTTCTCCTGTTGGCATAGTTAATCCACCTCCGCAAGAGCCGGTTACTGTGTTGACAGGAGAAGCCCTCCCATCGACTGTCTACACCAGGGGTTGGGTTGGTATAACTGTGTCAATTAGGGTTGGGGATTTTCACACCTCTGAGTGACGTATTTATCCCAATGTAAGTTTGTAGTGTGACCTGGCCTTAGTTTCCCAGACCTGAAGAAGAGCTCTGTGTAAGCTTGAAAGCTTGTCTGTCCCACCAACAGAAGTTGGTTCAATAAAAGATATTGCCTCACCCATCTTGTCCCACCGAAAATAAGGCATAGGAATACAGGAATTGCCATATGGATCAGAGCAGTTTTGCCCAGTATCCTACACTCAACACTGGCTGGTACCAGCTGCTTCAAAGCAAAGTGCAAGAAACCCTGCAGTAAGCAATTATGTGATAACCTGCCCCTAGGGATAATTTCCTCTTAACCTGCATTAATTAGAGGTTAAATTTTGCCCTATTCTATTCTCTGTTGGATCTTAGATACTACGGAGATGAGTGTGATATGAGCATCTTCCAGTAGTGCATTTAGCACTGTAACTACCCATCTGTCACTTGTTGTTTGTTCTCCTACCCTCTCCCCAGAGGGCGAAGCGTTTGCACTGTAGTGTCTTGACAGAGTATGTGGGGTTATTTTGTTCTGTGTTTATGCTTGAGTTTATATTCCTTCCAAAACGCCTGTTTCTTTTTTAAATATCCATTTTATCTAAAATGTCCAATCCTTTTTGAATCCTGCTAAGCTGTGGGCTTCAATGATATTCTGTGGCCATGGGTTCCACAGGCAAATTGAGCATTGTGTGAAGAAATATATCATAGACCAGACTGAAAAGCATCATGGAGATTTCTAAGTCTTCCTTAATAGTTACCCTGTCTTCTACTTTTGGGGAAGATGGAATAATGTGAGGAAACCATAGTGTTGTAAATATGTTGCATCTAGAAAATTAAATGTCTGAGTTGTCAGTGTCTGCAAGTATTGCTGTCAGATACAGAAGAAATAACTTATCACACAAAATGTTTATCACCAACTTAGCTTTATTTTAAATACTTCAATTTTTTTTCTTTTTAGGTAGTGTTTAACATGGTTGTAGAAGTGCCTCGCTGGTCAAATGCTAAAATGGAGGTAATTAAAAAAACAACCTTGGTTTATTAAATATATAGATATTTGCAGAATTGATGGTGATGTAATCGTTTCCAACATTTTAGAAAGTCAGTTTATTCAGTTGTATCCTTATATGTAAAATTCTTACTACTAGAATGTTCTTTTGTGGTTATTCATGCTGACGTTTTTCTTGTAGCTAAAAAAAATTAGGGGCCTAGTTTTGTCTCTCTTACTCGCATTGAGTATTTCCTTATTCCTTAATAACCCCATTGATTTCAAGGCGCAGAGTAAGGTGCTATTCAACATGAATAAGAGGGGCAGAACAGGATAGTTGCAGGATAGTGTCCTGAACTCAATCTTCCTCTCAAATACACAGGTACCGTAACTTATTTAATTTTGGATTTAATCCCTCCATGATCTTTACTGGTGAATAAATTATAGTGTGCCAGTCCTAATCTTGACCTCTCTGTATTGGTGATCGAAAAGCATCATATTTAATCTAAGAGCAGTTGTTGGCACTTAGTTACTTTTGAAGGTTTTTTTTTTTCTTCCTTGGAAATGAGCTTTTGAAATTTTAAAAGTAGAGCCTGATTGGAGCATTCCTCTGCGGTGTGACAATACAAAAGCTTAGGCGTGCTTTATTTGTATTGTAGGTAAAACATTTCCTAGATTGTACAGGAACTAGCTTGTTCCCTTGGTAATATATAAATTTCAGGGCTCCCTTCCCCAAGGTTTTATGAAAGTTTGGGGGTAAGCTGTTAAGTCTTACCTGTGCTGGTGCCCTGTCCAGAACCTAATTTTTTTCCTGATCCTGAAATGACTTCGAAAGTTGGATTATAAATTATGTTCACTATGACCGTTCATACTTGTAGGAATAATGCTGCTATTTTTTTTTCTTCTGTCAAATCACCTTACATTTTAAGATGACGTCAGGGGAAGGTTGAGTCCACTTGCCAAATGTTCTAATTTCACTGCACCATTTAAAGGCTTAACTTGAAATCTGGGTTGTTTTTAAACATATTTTATTTTCTTACCTAACACTTCACTTGACCTCCGGTGGTAAAGAGACACCTGCCATCCCATTAGAATTAGGTTCCAATATGGCTTGACATCCTTGTCTGGCTTCTCCACCTCTGACTACTTGCAAGAGACAAGAAATAGCTGCCTTTACTTTGTCATGCCAGCTGATCAAATAACTGCTAGGATATGGAAATTCTTAGAACACCACATTGGCAGAGATTATATTGGTGCCCACCAGATTTCTGTCCTAACCCAGCGGTGGGCAAATTACGGCCCTTCAGACGTTTTAATCTGGCCCTCAAGCTCCCGCCAGGGAGCGGGGTCCAGGGCTTGCCCCACTCTGGCGCTCCAGCTGGGGAGCAGGGTCAGGGGCTTGCCCCACTCCATGAGGCTCCTGGAAGCAGCAGCATGTCCCCCTTCCGGCTCCTACACGTAGGGGCAGCCAGAGGGCTCCGCACCCAGGAACCACGGCCAATGGGAGCTGCAGGGCAGCGCCTGCGGACAAGGCAGTGCACAGAGCTGCCTGGCCGCGCCTCCGGAGGGGGAACATGCCGCTACTTCTGGGAGCTGCTTGAGGTAAACGCTGCTTGGAGCCTGCACCTCTGACCCCCTCCCATGCCCCAGCCCTGATCCCCTTCCCACCCGCCAAACCTCTCGGTCCCAGCCTGGAACACCCTCCTACACCCCGAACCCCTCATCCCCAGCCCCACCCCAGAGCCCGCACCCCCAACCAGAGCCCTCACCCCCTCCCACACCCCAACCCCCAATTTCATGAGAAATCATGGCCCGCCATACAATTTCCATACCCAGATGTGGCCCTTGGGCCAAAAAGTTTGCCCACTCCTTTCCTAACCCCTTCCCTGGTCCCAGACACCATCCTTCAGATTGGACCATGGTAGGAAGCCAAAATTAGACATAGATCACCACACATCTGTGACTCCTGGACTGCTCCTCCCTTCATGGGAAGATTTTCTTATCTGATCTAAAGAATTTAAGAAACAAAGTTATTGAAACTTGCCTCCCCTGCTCCATCTTACTAGACCACATTTCCTGCATGTCACTCTGCCCCAACAGTTCACATAGTTTCCTGTTGGCCTTCCTTGACTTCCTTGAGGTCATTCTCATTTTTGCATTGCCAGCAGCCTCTTCCAAGACACTCTGGCAACATCAGGCAGGGGCCAAATTATTTTGCTCAGTTACATCGCTGTACATCTGGAGAAACATCACCAATCTCGGTGGTGTTACTCCATATTTTCACCGGTAGGATTTGGCCAAATGCAGGGTAAAATCCTGACTGAAACCAGAATTGCACAATCAGTCACAACTTTTGGAGCATGCTTTGGGTTTATACAAGAAGCAGACCTATAATTAGAGGCACAATGTCCAGCTCTGACCTGGTGTAAATGGGTGCAACCCCTTTGGAAATCTATGGGCCAATTTCAGTGGTGATTTAAATGGTGGTGTATGTCACATGCTTAGAGAACATGTGTAGGTGGTAAAGTCAGACTCGTCTACTTGGGGAAACTGGCCAGAATAGCTCTTGTGGAATAAGCTATTTTGCAATAGATCCCCATGCGGAGACACTTATTTCAGAACAAGAGTGCCTTTTTCTGATTTAACTTAATCTGCTTCCAATCTTGCACCAATTTGGTGTTCATTGGGTGTGCAGAATGAGTGTACAGAACAAGTGTAACTTCTATACTATGGGTAGAGAAAACAGATGGAGGAAAACAACTAACAGTTAAAGCAGTTTTCCCATCATTGTCAACCCCCTGTTGTCTGATCAGCTTGGGCCCCTATTTATGTTACTGCTGAATTTGGCCCATAAAGTGCAGAGCTTCAAACCTAGGTCCCCTTCAGTATTTGTAGCTGATTATGACCGACTCCTTATAATGATACGCCTTTGCTTGTCTGGGTCCAGCTTTTTTTTTTTTTTTTTTTTTTGCCATGAATACTTCACACCAAAGCTTAAAACATTAATAGCAAGTCAGATTTTTGAACGTGACCCTGGAGAGTTAGTGAGGCTATCACACTTTCCAAACCTCAAGCATGCTCTCCCCACTGCCCAAAATGCAACTTCTTACCCAGTTGGGTACAGGATTAATTGCTGTGCATTTTAGAATTCTTTTCTCACTCTCTCTCTTTCACAATCTGCTTAGATTGCCACCAAGGAACCATTGAATCCCATTAAACAAGATATAAAGAGAGGCAAGCTTCGATATGTGGCCAATATCTTTCCTCACAAGGGTTATATATGGAATTATGGTGCCCTCCCTCAGGTAACATTTTTGTTATAATGGTGAAACCTTCCTGTCTTCTGAGTAAATTGCCTTATAAATCCTGAGCATTGCCTGAATGCAAATAAGTTGCAAGAACGACGTTTTTGTTTGATAGATTTGTAAATTAGGAATTTTTTATGCAGAGCTTTAGTGTGTCCATAAATTTTGATCAGAATTGGGGCGTATGTATAAATGTGTGTGCTATTTCAGGAAGGAGTTAAGTATTTAAGGAACCTTGAATTTATATTTTTTTACTTCCCTGTACTATGTGACAGGATTATGCTGTCATCTTCCTGTCATTCAAAAGTACTTAAACCAAGTAGTAGTAACATTTTTTCCCCTTACACAAAGTTGAGGTAGTAAATTCATGTAGGCCATTCATATTTGGCAGTGTAAATAATACACCTCTACCCCGATATAACATGACCTGATATAACACAAATTCAGACATAACGCGGTAAAGCAGCGCTCCGGGGGAGGAGGGGAGCGGGGCTGCGCACTCCGGTGGATCAAAGCAAGTTCGATATAACGCGGTTTCATCTATAACGTGGTAAGATTTTTTGGCTCCCGAGGACAGCGTTATATCGGGGTAGAGGTGTAATTGGAATCTCTTAATCTCTTTGACAAAGGAAAAAAATATAGTGACTTTTGTTTTTGGGTTAAACTAGTTTTGTTTTTGGGTTAGTTATTTTGATTCATTTCACTTTGAATCTTCAGACTTGTTTGATCATATTTCATTTAAAATTTTGTTTTGTGTTTATAAACAGTGGCTGAAATTCCATATTTGGTGACAATAAGGATTTAGATGTTTGCTCACGATTTAGATGTTTGCTCATCAGCAACCAGTGGGGAATTACTTGAGGGTGCCTTGGAAGAAATTTCACCACAAGGCTCTTTTACCTCTTCCCAAAATCCATATTTTTTGGTGGGTGGGTGGGGGCGTGTTTTTTCCCTCTCATTTCTAGTAGATTCATTACTTCAAACACGGAAAAGAAAAATCCCCAAATTGAAACAATTACCTACTTCAGAGTATATAAAAGTCACAAAAAACAAAGTCACTTATAGCAGGAAAATAGCTACGGATGGCAAACTTTTTCTAAAAGTGGAAATAACTAAGTTTTAAAACAATCCCCTTTAATTAAAAAAACCCACCAACAAAATGTTGAGCATATCTTTAGAAACACATCCAATTTTGACTTAGCATTTGTACCTGAAGAGGGACTTAAATCCCAGACCCTCAGATTAAAAGGCTGGTGGTCTACCAGCTATTTTATCCGGGCTCATAAAATCTACCATCTTTCTTGAGCTAAGCATGCCTATTGCCAGAAAAAGGAGAGGCTGTAACTTTATTTACTGGTGTTTTATTAATCTCTGTAATTTATAGGTAAACTAAGGAATTGTGATTGGAGTTTAATTATTGTGTTTAACAGACTTGGGAAGATCCACACCATAAAGATAAGGATACAGGATGCTGTGGTGATAATGATCCCATTGATGTGTGTGAAATAGGCACAAAGGTTTGTCTTAATAAACACGGTTATTTTAATATTTTGGTAGAATGGAGAGGGGCAAGGTGGAAGCAATTGACCAGAGGGAAGAGGTTACACTATTTATTTGCGGTTGGGGGATGACCAAAGTACAGGGCCGGCCTTAGGGAAAATGGTACCCTGGGCGAACTTGCATTTTGGTGCCCCTGGCCTTGTGGGTGTGGTGCCCCCTCATTGCCCCTGGTCCCCCATGGGCTTCCCACCCTGCCTTCCCCCCAAAACCTTGCACTGTGCCACCTTCACCTCAATGCCTGCACCCCAACCCCTGCACTGGCATGCCCCCTCACCCCAACACTTGCATTCCCCTCTTGTGCCCCTAACCCCTGCACTGTGCCACCTTCACCCCAATGCCTGCTCCCCCTCCTTCACCCCAATTCCTTCTCCCCCTTCACTCCCAACCTCTTCCCCCTTCTGCACCCCAACACCTGCCCCCTCCTGTGCCCCTACCTCCTGCACTGTTCCTCCTTCACCCCAACCCCTGCACTCCCCTTCTGTGCCCTAATCCCTGTACCCCTTCACTCCTACCCCCTGCACCTCCCTCCTGAGCCCCTAACC